TATATAACTAGAGAAAACTTATTGTTGTACGGCAGTGAAGCATCAGTGGCAACACTGATGTTGCTGTCCTTGATGATGATGATGGCGACATAAGCTCTCAGTTGTAAACGGTTTTAAAAGACAAGAGCAGCATCTTGGGCGGAAAAATCACGTTTACCCTGTGCTGAAGCCGTATGGTATCTAACAGACCTTGCTTTGTCATAGGTGAGTGTGCTGAAACCTAGCACTCATTCTTGAGAGGCCTAGGAGATTTGCACCGGCAGTTGACGCTCCACATACGTCATACGCTTATGTTTGTATACCAAACTTGGAATGCTATTCCTTACAGACGGAGGTGACAGTTGTGTTATTTTAGTCAATTATACCAGGTGAACTGCGGGAATGGTGTTCCAGATAGATCCTATTTTTGATGTCATCATCCATGAACGAATAGCAACTTTCTTAGCTAAGAAACCACAAGTAATTTGGAAGTGGACACTAACGTGTAATCCTTTATCGGTAACCCCTTGCCTTGTGGCATTAACATACATATGAATACATGCATCACCATACATAATCACCAAACAAGGATCGTCATGACTGTATTCTGTCGTCTGTCAATATTCGAGTTTCGCACAATATTTATTCGATCACAGCTAGCTAACAACATTTTGTAAGCACCATTCGGTCTTCAAAGTTAGTTAGTTATTTCAGTCATCGTTGCATTTTGAATCGGCTTATGACTAGAGAATACGAGCGAACACAAATATGTATCCTTAACCCTTTCAAGTATGACGATCGTAGACGGCAAACCAGCTATTCGCTCAGAACATATACCATTATATTCATTTTTTATACTCGATTACTTATCAACAGGGTCAAGGATCTTCAATCGTCTCCTCTGTCTGAACTGGACGGTATAGGCTCCGAAAATGGAATAAAGCCAGCGGTCCAGCTGCGGCGGGCTTCGTGATGCACAATTGTGGACTGAATAAGGTCTTTGGTATTGATCCCCTCGTCTTGCATTTTACACACTGTCCAGTAAATACATCGAGTTAGTAAAGCCAGTGCGCCTGTATATTGGTGCGTGAACGGTAAAGTACACGTGCGTGACCGAAGAAGAAGGTGGTGCTTCTTTAGAATCTGGTTACTTGTTCATTCCTGATGATGATTCACCAGTTTTAGTTTCTGTGCGGAGCGTCGAATATATTTCAGGTCCGATGACTAGAGGTTAGCTGTCGTATCCGTTCTGATTGTTTCACCCGCAGAGCTTGAGTGAGCACTTTCAATTAATGTGCTTAAACGTGAAAGCACGTGACCCTATTGTTGATGAGCAATCCAGCAACGTTATGAGTAGTACATTACAAATATAACTGTATCGCGATATTTCAAATATCGTAGCGACTGAAACATGAGGCGGCCTGGTGCAGCACATTCAGTTGCCTGAGAACATCATAAACGAGAGATTCAGCTGGGTTCCAGGTGAGTCTCTCGAAAGAGCCAAATTAGTTTGCAGATGAGTGCATGTTCGCTAATTTCGTGCAATTTGGTTTCAAGTAGAACATGAGGTTGACGGAAACCCGGGGACTGCGCCTACCTGATGAGCCCCAAGAAGGGCGAAACCGGTCGTAAGCTGTCGATGGAGTTTCAGCAACCTTATGAGTATTACATTACAAATCCAGACATCTGTTTTCTGAAACTCAATCTGGTTGCATGAAGGTGACTTTACAGCATTGCGTTACAAATTTATCTAGTGGGAAAGTCCGATGCAAACAGGGCTAGATTCCGTTAGCGCCAGTTCCGCATGTGCCCCATCAGTGAAGCTAACTTGTGTGGTCTGGTCTTTCTTTGACTTCTAGAACCAGGGAACATTCTCTTACGGAGTGCTTGTTCAAGCCTTGGCTACGCATGGGTCACACTAGTAGTGTGACAAGAGAACAAGAACCGAATTTAGTTTGATTTCGTGTGAATCTTTGATTCGGGAGACTATGATTCACCTTATGTGTATTCCCCACATGCGTTCTCAACATCATTTCAAAAAAGAAATTCTAGAAAAGCTGTGTTAGCACACGGA